CATGCAAGGCTGCTTCAGCAGCCGCTGTCTCTGGGACACCTGGGGAGCTACTTGTCAGGGTGCTTGCTGAGTGACTCGGACAATGACGAGGTCAGGCAGTGAGCACACCTCGGGTCCCCCAGAGGCATCACAGCCCTGGTCCTGGGAGCCTGTCCCTGTACCCTGTGTGCCTGTGCCCATGTCCTGCCCCTACTGTCAGTGTCCCAGGGTCACCACGGCTGCACAGGGAGTGACAGTGGCACTGTCTCCACACTGCTGCTGGACAGGCACAGGAAGTTCCAGGCAGGAAGGGAGCGGGCCAGGCTGGATGAGAACAGTGGCTGGGTTGGAGCCCAGCAAGGGGACTGGAGATGCGCCGGGACACCACAGCCACAGCAGGGCCAGGACGGGCACCGTGGGTGGAGGGCAGGTCCAGGTGGGTTGGTGTGGAGAAACCTGGGTCACCTGTGGGAGCTGTGTGGAGGAGGATAGCTGTCTGGCTGCTGTACTGCCTGGCGCCAGCACTCAGGGTACCAGAAGGACCCCAGACCCCTCAGCTCCTGCAAGCTGAGCACCTACGGTAGCTGGGCCACCGAGCTGGGCCCTGCCTTTACGCTTCTTGCTGCTGGGAGCCCTGCCTGCCTTGCTCCTCATGCCCAGCACACCGGGTTTCACTGTGTTCCAAGATGCACCCCACAGCTTGGCACCCACAAAGCGGGCATGTCTTACCCTGCAGCGCAGCGTGGCCCCTGTGGTCTGTCCTCTGATGCCCCTGGCAGTCTACATCTCCACAGACAGGTGCATCTGTCTCCTGGGGTGTGGACGAAGGGTCCTGACAGAGCCCAGGACACCCAGCCCAACAGTAGGGAGCCCCCAGGATCAGGACAGCGAGGAGGAGCAGCGCCCCAGAGCAAGGGATTTGTGAAGCTGCGGGGGCCACACTGGGTGCCCAAGTCCCACAGGGCGTGGCCGTCAGAGGTACCAGGGTGAAGCAGGTTATGGCGAGGCTCAGAGGAGGGTGGGAGGCGTGCACCTTGGGTCGCTGGTCGGATGGGCCTCTGCTGAGCGGCTCCGCCATGGGGGGCACCAGTAACAGTCACTGCCTGAGCCCTGTGCCGCCCCTTGGTGGCCCTGTACACCTACCCTGGCCCTGGCAGCTGTTCTGTCCTTAGGAGCAGGCTGCACACTCGGGGCCTGGCACAGCTGTGACTGTGGGGCGGGACCTTGTGCCTGAGCTCCTGGCTGTGACCCACGGCTCCCTTCTGTGCCTCACTGAGGCGGCCAGGGTGGGGGCGCAGGGGAGCGGGCGCAGGGTCCCGTGGAGGGGCCGTGTGTGAGTGCTGAGCGTGTGCCTGCCTTCACGACGACCTGCGAGCTGAGGCTCTGCCTTCCTCCTGCTCATGGAGGGTGTTCCTGTTCCCACACTCTGTGCCCACCCCAGCTGTGGTGTGGGTGGCATCCAAGCAGAGCCCCCCTAGCACTGTGTGGCTCTGCCCTTCTCTAAGCAGGGAGATGACGCATCTTTTTTTCTTTCAGTACTGGGGATTGAACTCAGGACCTTGGCCCCAAGTGACAGCTCTTTTCTGTTGTTTTGTCTTTGGAAGACAGACCAAGTCGACAGGTGAAACCCCCTTCGTGTCTCAGCCTCCTTGAGCTGAGGTTGCGGCCTCCCTCCCTCCCTGGCTGGGAGTTGAACCCGGGACCTTTTCACTGAGCTACACGCTCAGCCTGTCTTATTTTTTCATTTCCATACGAGGTCTGGCTAAGTTTCTAAGTTCCCAGAGCTGGTTCAAACTTGTGATCCTCCTGCAATCCCAGCTTTGCAGAGCTGGGGTGACTGCTGTAAACTACTGTGCTCACCTCTCAGTTATGCTTAGGGACCAGGTGCTCCTTTTCTACTCTGCGTGAGAAGGGGCCGCAGGCTCTACCGTGGAACACGCGCTCCCCTCTTCTTTCCTGCTGGCCAGCATCCCCAGCTGTGCTCGGAGAGGGTCCTGCGCCCCGCAGAGCCCCAGCCGGGGGTCGGGAGCAGAATCTAGGCTGAGCCTGGGTCCCGCCTGTCCCACCCCACACCCAGACCTGCATCCTTCATAGACCCTGCCGTGTGCTAAGCACCCCTTCTGCCACTGAACTGCACCCTGACTTCTTTTTTTAAATGTGTTTTTAATACACAGCACAGAGTGACTTCGAGCCTTTTTCATTATGCACTTAGGGGTGTTCACGCTGCTGTACCACTATCACCGCCCTCTCCCTGACATCACCCTCTCACCAGCCTGAACCCCTTTCCCCTTCCCATCTCTAGTTTGGTGGCCCTAGGAGCACCAAGGTGCAGTGGCAGGGGTTGCCCCCCGCCTGGCTCACTTATCTTGGCCAGCTTGATGACTCGGGTTTGATTCCTTTGGGTGTGTTGGTCCCTGCAGCAGCGTCGTCGGCCACACAGGCCCTGCAGGCTCAGGGGCTCGCTGGTGGGTCACAGTCAGGAGCCCTGGAAGGAGGGTCCATCTGTGTCCCATGACCGTAGTTCTTTCCGTGTTTGCCTTGACTACTCTGACCTTGATACTGGGTGTCTCTTGTGCCCGGATGAGCCACGGCCGGACCTGCCATGATGTCCAGGACTCTCTTCTTCATGGATGGGGGCTCCCACCTCTGCCCTGCGGTGAGCCAGCCTCCCCAGCTGTGGTCTTGGGGGCTGGTGACGACAGTAGGCCTGGGGTGACCAGAGGCTTGGGGCATGGGGGCCTCAGCAGGACCGTGGGGCCTCTCACCACCCCGTGGGTAAGGGTCAGCCTGTCCTCACCAGTCCTCACCTGGCCCTGGCAGCCCTGTGGCAGGCGCAGCCCCGGTAGGCGATTTGGGGGCCCAGCTTGGAGCACCTCTGCGGATGAGTGGCTGCGTCCCTGCCCAGGGTATTTTTAGCCGAAGCACCCAGTGCTCGGCAAGGCAGAAATAGACTCGGCTTTTTCGGGTTCTGGTGCTGACGGGCTCTGCTCTCGGGGAGCCGGGCTGGGGTGGGGTGCGTGCGGAGCGCAAACAACTGCTGTTGGGAAAAACATCTCGCGCTGAGGTGGTTGTGGCTGGGAATTATTTCTGTTGGTGAACACTCTTTATGTAAATGCCACAGCACGTGTGCGATCGCAGCAGGCCAGGGGGCGGGGGGCGTAATTATGTTCAAAATATCATCTCCATCGGATTGTTTTCAGTGTTCCCGGAGCCCAGTGATTCCAGGCTCAGGAGGTCCTCGGGCTCTGCCCCAGGGGACACGCCCCCCATCAGCTCTGTAGCCGCCCCCTCCCCTCTGTTCTCCTCCTGGGCGGCTGCTGATGGGGGCAGACCTCCTGCCCAGATCCAGCAGCACCCTGTTGAAGGTCATGGCTGCAGGGCTGTTTGCTGCTGCAGGTGCCACCCGCCGAGCGGCCCGCGGCCTTGCAGGGTGGAGGGGCCCAGGGGGCTGGGACGTTGTGGCTGGGCTTGCGTGAGGTGCCTTGTGGTCCAGATGTTGGCCCTTGAGGGCTGGTCCACACCGATTCCTTCCCTGGGGACCCTCACCCAGCCACAGCAGCCCCCACTGAGTTGTCCAGTCCTCACAGAGTGGGGTGCTGCTGCAGAGGAGGCCGGGGTGCCTGAGCCTGCTGGACCCAGAGCTGCAGGACCCATGGGTCTAGGGGTCCAACTACCGCATCCTGCAAGCTGGCCCCTCTCCCAGGGCTTCTGACCACCCCCCCACGAACGGGACCTGCGCCTGGGTGACCCAAGGTCCTTCCCCAACCTGGGGACATGTGGAGCCCAATTGGCAGCACACCCCAACCTCAGGGTTAGAAGTGCCCATCTGGTGGTCGTGGTGTGAGGCTGCTGTCCCTCTGTGTTCGGGGAGCGCTGCAGGCCTGGGAACGGGCACTCAGTAGGGCCATGTGTTCCCCTTGGCCCCCCAACATTGAGGGTGCCCTGCACACCTCAGCAGAGGAGGGGTGTGACCACTAGAGTGGACCTGGGGACTTCACACTGGCTACAGTGGCCTGCTGGGACCTGGCCAGGGCAGGCTGGTCAGTTGCCTGGGTATAGCCTGGCTGGAAACCCTGTGGAGCCAACGCCCCGTGCAGGAGTTGCAGGGTCATTCTGGGCCTTGGCCCTCTGCAGAGCTGAGGGCTAGGGGTCTCTGTCCCCGATCCAGTCCAATCCAGTCTAGTCTGGTGTGTCAAGAACAGCAGAAGGCTGGGGCCCGCCCTTGACACCCCACCGACTGGGCTCTGCTCTTGACACATATTTGCTAGGTGGCTCTGTAGGCACCAGGCCTGCCTGGCTGTGTCCTGGTGCTGGCCACATCCGAGCCCTTGTGTCCTTGTGCTGGCCACATCCGAGCCCTCGCCTGGGAGCTGCCATGGTCTCGCCCCTGCCTGTTTCGGGAGCCACGGAACAGGGCTTTGGGGTGGCAGTGTTGGCCCCCCATCTGCCCTGCTTCCGCTCTTAGGCAGTTTCCCAGCAGCAGAGCCACTGCTCTGCCTGTCCCCAGAACACAGCCCTGTCCCCAGCCACCATGCCACCCGCTGGCTGTCCTGCATCCTGTTCCCGGCTCCTGCCACCCTCACCAGTGTGCTCCTGGGTCTGGGTGGGTGCCCTCACCACCAGCCCTTGGGACAGGGCAAGGCTGGTGTGAGGAGGCTGCCGGGCCCTGATCTGCTCACTCAGGCTGGCAGGGGGCAGGTCCATCCTCAGCCTCAGGAGCGTGGCAGAGCAGGGTACAGTGACTGTGTGCCTGCAGTCTCTATGCTCTGGGCGGCTGAGGCAGGAGAGTCACAAGTTTGAGCTAAGACACTGACTTAGCGAGACCCCATCTCAAAGGATTTTCAAAGCAGGCTGGAGGTGTAGCTCTGTGTGAAGGCCCTGAGCTCAACCTCCAGCACTGAAAATGATAGTGATGATGATAATCATGGTAAAATTAAGAGAGAAAGGATTTTGGTGGGCGAGGACAGACCCACCCGCCTGGCCCACAGGCGCCCAGCTCATGGGCTGGTTCTGTGCTACAGTGCAAGAGAAGCCCGAGCCAGTGCCGCTGGAGAGCCGCTCCTGCGTCCTCATCCGCCGCGACCTCGTGGCGCTGCCCGCCAGCCTCATCAGCCAGATCGGCTACCGCTGTCACCCCAAGCTCTACTCTGAGGGGGACCCTGGGGAGAAGCTGGAGCTGGTGGCAGGTGAGTCCCCGCACCAGGGCTGTACGTAAACATCAGCCCGCCTGTTTGTTCAGAGCCGTGAACATTTCGCTCATCACCAAACAGTCAAAATAAAGAACACCGTGAATTTCTTGATTTCCTCTTAGAAGAATATGTCATTAAGGGGAGTTATTCGATTGAATTAATTTAGCATTTTAATTGAATCCCCCGGGCTTGCCGTGTTCCTGATTGGCAGGGGCTCCATTTGCTGGGCTGTAATGTAGGCCACAGATCATGAGGCGCACACAGTGTGTCACAGCAGTGTCCCCATCCCGAGCCTGAGTATGTCGGGGCGGTGACCTCAGGCTCCAGGCAGCCATGCCCAGCCCAGGTCCTTCTGGAAGGGCAGTGGCTCTGCACTCCCAGAAGCCCCTGTGGGCCAAGCCTGCAGCAGACAGACTGGGCTTTGGGGCTGGGCTTCGAGCAGTCTCACAGCTCTTTGTAAATTTTTAATCCTTCATGGCCCTGTCGTCCCATGGGGCTGTGGGGCTGTTCCTCTCCATCTTTGTCAAGAAAGATCCACAGTGGGCAGGGTAGGGTCCCCAAGGCAGAGCCGCAAGCACGGGGAGTCCTGCCCTCACCAGCCCAGCCGCATGCCCTGGGAAGTCTAGTGCCCGCACACCCACGATATCCTCTGCTGCGAACCACTCCCAGAGGTCGTGAGCCCCGTCCCTGCTGGCTGCAACAGTGCTGGCTGGATGGCTGGACGAACAGGGTGCCGAGTGCGTCCTGGGCCCTCCAAGTAGGTGTGGGGCTTAGAAGAGGCGGGTGGCCCCACCTGCAGCAGCAGCCTGTGTTTGGGGTTTGACCTGGAGAGATGTCCAGAAAGGGGGTTTTGTGGGGCCTGACACAGGCTCTCTGCAGAGGCCAGGGACATTGTAGTCCTGCCAGGGAAGGGATCTGGGGCTCCTTGAAGTTTTGAGTGTGGGGGACGGAGCTTCAGGGAACAGTGCCCTTGTGATCGTTGACACTGCTGTCCCCAGAGCAGAGTCCCTGGGAGCCAGGCCCCTCAGGCTACAGAGAGAGTTGACCAGAGTTGGCCCTGAGGCTGCAGGCCAGGGCTCCCCAGGGGCTAGCAGGTCCCTTGGAGGACAGACATGGCTCCTTTCCTCATGAACAGTCAGTGCCCGCTGTCACATAGATCCTAGAAAAACCCAGACAGGACAGGGAAGGCTCCAGCAGTGTGGCGCTCTGGTGTCCCCCCAAGGTTTCTGCCCGGGCCTTTTCCTGGCCTGTGTCCACACACCCAGATGCTCTGTGCTGCGCCTGGGCCCCGTCCCATCGATCGGTCCTTCATCTACCCATGCTTGGGTGATGCGCCCGAGGCCAGCCTCTGCCTCGCTCTGCTGGGATGAGGGTCTCCTCTGGACACAGCCAGGGAAGGTCCTTGGCGGGGTAGACTCCTCACTACAGAGGCTCTTCGGAACCTGTGAGGACAGCTAAGAGCTTGGGACAGATGGGGAGTGGGGCAGCAGAGCAGGGACCGTCATATGGGGGTGAGGCAGCTGCATCTCAGTGGGACCCCGCATGCCGAGTGTGACCCTGGGAGCCCCTGAGCAGGGCCGTTGGGCCCAGGCCTCACGTTGCCTGTTTGCCGGTCACAGGCTCCGGGGTCTACATCACACGTGGCCAGCTCATGAACTGCCACCTCTGCGCAGGGGTGAAGCACAAGGTCTTGCTGCGGAGGCTTCTGGCCACCTTCTTTGACAGGTAGGTGGGGTAGAGCCGGAACAGAGGTCCCAGGTCCCTCTCCAGGAGCCTTGGGGCTCATGCACTGCCAATGTGTCCATGTGGCCTGGCAGTGCGAGGGCAGTGGGGTGGCTCCGGGGAGGTGACGTGTACCGGGGCCAGGCCCAGCCTGCAGGTGGCTGGCTTTCCTTCTGTTTCCCAAAGGCTCAGCCCCCCAATAAAGCAGAAGTCACAGCTTCCCCGTCAGGAGTCTGGGCCAACAGCCCTGCCTCCCAGCCTCGCGGCTCACTCAGGTGACCTGGGGCCCTCAGACGGGGCTGAGGATGCCTGGGGCAGCGGCTCAACCCACGTGGGGGAGCCAAGGCCCCACCCTGTCCCTGTGAGGGGAGCCTCCTGCTCCCCACAGTGGGTGTGACCCAAGGGAGGCCACTGGGACAGCTGGGCTTCTGGGCTGTGCAGCCCAGCCCGGCAGCTCACTCTCCGCTCTGCCCTCTGCAGGAACACGCTGGCCAACAGCTGTGGCACTGGCATCCGCTCTTCCACCAGCGACCCAAGCCGCAAGCCGCTGGACAGTCGAGTCCTGAATGCTGTGAAACGTGAGTGGCTGCGCTCCAGGGTGCAGGGGGTCTCGGGTGCCCTGGGGGCTCAGGTGCTGGCTGGGGGAAGGTAGGAGGGGGCCTTAGGGGGCCCCAGGAGGAGAGCAAAAGAGCAACGCCCAGCCGGCCTCGGGGTGCTAACGTCCTTGGTAGGTTTCCAAGTGTGATGAATTCAGCTGCGAAACTATTTTAATATGTGAAATAGATCTAATTTTCCTTTTTGAACAAAACCCCTTATTTACATGTTGAGGTTATTTTGAGCCTTTGCCATCTGTTCGGCTGCCTCCCGCTCCGGGGTGGGTGGTGGGGCCCGGTCCATCTCCGTGGGCACCACCATGCTCAGTTCCGTGGGCCCATGGAGGACAGAGGTGTTGCGGCCCACCCTCCTGGGTGGGCTGGCCCCGAGCGTCAGCATGAAAGACACTCCTATTTTCTTGCCTTAAAAAATCCCTGATGCTGGGTGCAGTACCACATGCCTGTCACCCTAGCCCTGGGGAGGCTGAGGCAGGAGTTGCCTTGCAAGTTCGAGACCAGCCTGGGCTACAAAGTGAGCTCAAGTCCAGTCTGAACTTCATAGTGAGACCCTGTCTCAAAAAGACAAAGGAAAGAAAGAAAAAGAGAAGAAAATCCCTCCGAGGCTGATCCCCTTTGTAGCAGAAGGGCTTTGGCCGTCCATAATTGCTGGTGCATAGCACAAGGTGACAGCAGGCCGCAAAGGCACCAGTGGGTGTGTGCCAGTGCTGGGGTGGGGTGCTCCTGGCTCCAGCCTTGGGCCCTGGGGGGAAGGAGGCTTTTAATGTGTGGCATCTGTTGCTCCGGAGCCCCGGAACAAGTTGTCACTTCGAGGGCCCGGCACAGGGATGGGGACGGGGAGGCCCCACTAGCCCTCAAAGGCTGTGCTGGGGGAGGGCCCCAGGACCCAGCAGTGACAAAGGGACCACAGTCTGCAGGCCAGAGAGCCCCGGGGGCCCCAGGGTTTCTGGAGGCAGCGGGGCGGCGTAGGACGGGCCCGTGGGTCTCCTGCTCCGGCCGGACATTCATGGCGCCCTGGGCCTGTCCCGTCCCCCCGCAGTATACTGTCAGAACTTCGCCCCCAGCTTCAAGGAGAGCGAGATGAACGTGATCGCCGCGGACATGTGCACCAACGCGCGCCGCGTGCGCAAGCGCTGGCTGCCCAAGATCAAGTCCATGCTGCCCGAGGGCGTGGAGATGTACCGCACGGTGATGGGCGCCTCGGCCGCCGGCCTGCCGCTGGACCCCGACTTCGCGCCCGCCGCCGCC